AAATTAAAATGTTAAGTGTGTGCAATGGTAAAAGTAGATCAACATCTGTAAGCTGTGAATAATAATGATACAGTAAACCTCAAACTCTGTAATCAAAACAAATAATGATAATCAAATCTGAGCTTTCAAGTTAAGGAACTAACCATCATTATTCAAATACGCTGCAACATTAGAAATTGTGGAGTTGAATGAATTTGTTACCCCCCTATGCTACAAAAATCTTTCAGATGGGGTGTTAGTAGCTGGGATGCACAAGAAAAGAAACCAAAATCCTCTTTGGTGACATCCTTACATACTTTTTTTTCTCCTCACTGCTGCTGTATGGCACTCATTTTCGCATGTGTTGTTAATGTTAGTAACAAGTGCGAGTGCGTGGTCCTTTACCATTTTCTATGGCATCTCAGTCTCATTACTAGGTGACCATCAACCGTTTTCTCAGAGGATGACAAACGGACAAAGCATTGCTGCAGCTCTGATGCAAGTTTTTGGAGAAAAGTAAAAAAGCACTGCAGTGTTTGGGTGCACTGTGTTTATCTGAGATAATTAGTGTGCTTATATCATTGAAATGTGTATATTCAATACAACGTGTGAAGTAAAGTGTGAAGCAGATGCGTGCCGCTTGCACACCATGTGCTCGTGGTGCAAGTCACCATTGAAAATGATAAACTTGCACCGGAAGCTTATTGGCATCCCCTCCAAGGCTTAGCTCAGCAGCCACATTTTAATAAAGCTGTAGACTTCATATCAAAACTTCATACCAAACTTTTATTAGCGATATTGATAATGGGTTCAGTCAATAAATACCGATACCAATTTTATCGGCCAGCCAGCGATATCTTTCATGATAGTTTTTTTTTTTATAAACGTAGTTTTTCCAGAAAATGTACAAAAGCTTTATATTATAAATAAGTTTAAACATTTATGAAAAGGACTTTATCCTATTAAATTATTTTGTATTTTATTTTTAAGTTTATAGATATAATAAAGAAAAATATGACTTTAGATAAACAACAAATTCAACTGTAAGTCACAATTCTCAGTTTTATGACCTTATATACATTTTTCCACCAGCATCATCTTGCATAAATGACTAAATGTAAATGTGAATATATTAAAATTATCCCAAGTAACAGGAATTAAAAACTTTAAATATGAAAATATAAATATGGAAACACTTTAATGAAATACCGAAATGTTTTTTTCCTTCAAAAAATACAAAAAAAAAGGATAAAAATACAAGCGTTGTAAAAATATTGAAACTAAAATATTACATCTCCTTGCAATTGTCAACACTGTCAATCTCCCACGGACTGTCTCTCTAGCCTTTTGTATGCTGCCTGTGTCAGCCACACCCACTTATTTACATTTCACGATATACACAAATATAAAAAAAATATTTTACAATACACATTTAATTCCGTGGTAACAATATATACTGTCATACCTCCCATTACTATTATTACTATTAATGAAGTTATTATTTAATACAAATTATTTAAAAAGACATTTTCCAAAGATATATATATATATGTCTATATATATATGTGTGTGTGTGTGTGTGTGTGTATATATATATTTTTTTTATTATTATTTTTTTTATTTTTTTTTATTTTTTACCATTATTATTACAGGAAATGTTGTTGAAAATTAAGTTTTGCTCTCAGAGAAATAAATAAAATTTAGTTAAAACAGTAACTTAAGATGAACAATTGAACTAATGCAACTACATCAGGGATGTCAAATTTATGGAGGGCCGCAGCCCTGCACAGTTTAGTTCCAACCTTAATTAAACACACCTGATCAAACTAATTGAGTCCTTCAGGCTTGTTTGAAACCTACAGGTAGGGAAGTGTGTTGGAGCAGGGTTGGAGCTAAACTGAGCAGGGCTGTGGCCCTCCAGAATTTGAGTTTGACTTCCCTGAACTACATAAAAGATCTCTTATGAGTAAAATCTCACCAACCCCAAAGTTATTTATCAGAATATTACATCAACACAAGTCACGGTATCTTTAAAACGGGGACAGTCCCACAAAATGTGGTGGTACTGTATATAGTTAATGGCCTTTTTTACCGCTCATAATTTTTTTTTTTTTTACTATGCTAACAGTTTTGTTCCCACTACAAGTTTTCGTGTTCATAGGACAAATAAGTGTGGGAGAAATGTGTTGAATAAGCTGTTTCTGCAAAGCTTTATGAACTCTGAAAGTGTGGGCGTATGCCGTATATTGCCCTAAGAAAAGTTTATTACACACAATATTTTCCTCACTGTTTCCTCACTCAACTTATAACTACACTCACATTTGCACAATCATTCAACAAAAAGCTTCAGTAAAAATGCTAAGCAATTTACTGAAAGTTTTTTTTCTTAGTAATCAATGGTAACTAGGTCACTGGTTTAACCTATTTTGGCACTGTTGAGTAAGATACATTTTGAGTAAGATTTTTTTTGCTTGCCAGCATTCCTGTTTTCTACTGAATGACACAAGTCGTACAGGTTTGGAAAAATCATTCGAGAAATTCCTTAAGCTTTGGAAATTCTCCACTATCATGTAGGATCTACACTTAAAGTCCACATGAACCTCAAGCTGCGACCTTTTTTTTTTTGTATTGTGACGTAGTTCCTAGAAAAATAGAATTAAAAGAGAAAACAGTGGGCATGACTTGTTTATTGTGTGAGCTGATTGGATGTAGTAAATAAATGTAGTAAATAAATGTAGGATGTAGTAGGCATTACATTTAGAAAGATCAGGGAAAGGGTTTCGAGAGAATTATTACAACCTAACAGACACCTCAAGCTCACCATTTCAATTTGTTGTCAAAACTGACAGTTGGAGGGGTGTGGTTAAATATGTTAGCCACGCCCAATTCCTAAGATGTAATCTGACAATTTAACTGAAAACAGACAGAAAGTGCACTTTCAGATTTCAATTAAAGCTTAGAAAGGCAAACATTTTTGCTTTCTTATGACATGCACATATGAATTATTCACCACAAAACTAACCACGTGAGCTAACAAAATCTTATGATTATTTTGATTTCATGGGGTCTTTAAACATAATTTTTTACTCTTTAGCCTTTGTATGTGTATAGTTGTTTAAAAATGTCCTAAATCTGTTTCTTCTACGGCGCTTTGGCTCAATTTTTACTGTTTAAATGTGCCTCATAAATAAAATTTAATGTTGTTGTTGTTGGAGAAATTGATTCTCTATGGGTTCTGAGGTTTTTACAGTGCATCGCTATTCTCTCTTGAGTGGTTTCTGAGCTTAGTTTTTAACAGCAGGTGGAGCTGAATGCTTTACAAACAGCCGTACTCTGCTTGCATTCAATTTCTTACAAACACCACTTGAAACTAAGAAGTTGCAATAAGTTTAAGCAAAATAAAAGTGTTTATAGTAAGCTGTGTTTACATTAATCTCGTAACATAAAAGTACATTTGCAGTCTCTAAATCAGTCTCTAAATCAGTGCAGAATTGAATTCTCAAACTATTTTTCACCTCAGCCCAATTTGGATTGGAATGATGTAAGTGCAAGTACAAATAATGGCTTTTTTATTTTTTATTTTTGGGTCAGTGTAAACCTTGGAGTACATATACACAACAACATATTAACATGGTCAACAGCAAGGGTTACCAAAAAACCAAACTTGGTTGAGACTAGTGGGCCAAAGGTAAATATAGTTGCCATGGGTAATTTCCTAATTTATTAAATAATATTTAAAAAATAACTAGAAAACCTTAGCTTTATATTAACTAATACACTATATATTTTTTTACATTTTATAATCAACTTATTACAGTAAAAGCAATTTATAGCAGAATGGAGTTACAGTAGTTTTGCCTTGATTTGCTCGCTGATGTCTTCTTCATAGTCCTCTATCAATCGATTGACGGTATTTACATTTATACAACTTAAAAAATAAAGTTAGATTTTTTTGTAGCTCAGCAATAAAACAAACAAACAAAAAAGGTTATGTCAAATTAGAAATGATGATCTCTGTTAAAGGCATTCTCCCCAACTCTCTCCATCATTCTCACCCTCTTCTTAGATGGGATGGTGTGCCAAATCAAAGGTTACAATGGACCAACTTTGGCCCACAGGCCCTACTTTGGGCATCTCTGGTCAAAAGGATACTCAATCACATGGATCCAGAAAAAAAAGGCTAAAAATGCTGGATTATAGAATGTCAATGGTTTCCAATATGCTGCAGAACTATCGGTGAGCAGCTCAAACAGTCATGTAGTCAGTTATTCATGTAGTTATTTAATCAATAGGGTATAAGGTCAGATCATCAATGCATACTTATACAAAGGTTTAGTAGGCCTGCTTCTTGTTAGAAACCTATTACCATTGACATTCTAGTATATTGATTTGGTCTACTATGGATGTCAAAGTTTCAGCTTTCTTCAAAAATCATCTTTGGTTTGTGAAATGTGAGTAAACAATGACAGAATTTGCATTTTTGGGTGAACTACACCTTTTAAATATTTAGCAAAAGTAAAGCACTCCTTATCAGGTTTGAATCTATCCAGTGTTCGTCTTTCTAAAGCTACAAAATGAGATGCAGTGCAAGATCAAAAATGTAAACGTGTGAAAATGCTTCACATGTACGCTTCGTGTTACCTGGCTGTGATGATGATGATGATGATGATGACGATCTCTCAGACGTTTTTGTTTTGAGTGTGGGTGTTCGGGAAGGATGTGGCCAACCAAATCACCCCCACCCCTGGTGACACTTTGTCACCATTGACATGTTTCAAATGTTCTTGAGCTCTTGAGTTATGGGTGAAAAGTTTTGTAGCCTCAAACGTTTCTAATTGTATTTTGCACGATAATGACTAACATTAAAGTTCAATCCTGCAACAGACACTAAATATAAACACATGATCTGGTAATTTATTTTATAAAGAAATCCAATTTTTAAAGATCAAGCTATGTAGTTTTCTGTTTAAGCAATTGTAATGTGACTTAAGCAATTTATATATCCGTTATGTTTGTTTCAGGTGATGAAACTCTCCTTAACCAACCAGTGAGGCAATATGCTCGACCTTCTAGAAAGAAACAAGGTAAGAGAAGAATATTAGGGCCACTACATTTAACATCCTGCCAGTTTTACTGCTAGGACTCATTGGCTTCTACTTTCTTCCCAGAATTCCCAAGTCAGCTTGAAGATCTGAAAACATCAATGCTGAAGCACGAATATGCGTCCGTCCCACTTGCACAATCGTATGTTTTTGCTTCTGTACTTTCCGTGTTTTCATTCACCCACTAATCCTTACGAAAAGTCATGATTGTGTATTTGCTGTTAGGAAGTTCATGATTTCTTCAGACTTCCGTTTGTGTGCCTGACTGCAGAACATTAGCCGTGTTATGTCATATATTTGCAGGGTTGATGATGTGGTGAAGAAACTGCTTACTTTGGAGTTTGCTAATCATGTACGGTTTTCGTTTCCTTTCATTCCTCTTTAAATATTTTCAGAATTTAAAAATAGTTTGAACCTATAATGGGTGCTTTTAATGTTGATCTAGGAACTATCAAAAACTTTTTACCATATTAACTCAAACAATGTGTTTTAGAGTGAAAAACTGCGTTTGAAAGAGGAACAGCTTATTGCTAAGGTGCAGAGGGATGAGAATGACCGCAGTTCAACCGAAGTCAAGGGTAAGTTCTCTTTTTGGTCTTTCTTAAATGATTGACAAAGTTGTGGTTTTGACAATACTGGAATCTCAGAAAATGACTCGATGATGTTGAATGTTCTTGTTCCATTGCAGTGGCGATTTTGACAGCACGCATTCGCAACTTCCAGGAGCACTTGCACAAACACCCCAAGGTAAACGGCAGCAGTTCAGTAGTGTGTGTTTTTTCAGCCCTCAGTAAAGGTGTCAGAACATTTGTCCAACTCCAGTTGATTAACACCCACAGAAACACAGGAAATCCTGTGCACAAGCTCATGTGTTCAGCTATATAGTGTTCATTTTCATTCTGTAGGGACGTATTAAATTGATTAAAAAGTGACAGTACAGACCAAAAAATATATATATGTTTTAAATAAATAAATTCTTTTTGAGCTTATGCATTTACATACTATTTAAGGTTAATCTGTTCATTAAAGAATGCTAAAAATGTTAATTAAAATCAAATTAAGCAGATAATATTAATTATATTTAGTTTTTAAGCAGTAAATGAGCATATTAGATGGATTTTGGCAAATAATGTAACTGCCATATTTACAAAAAAAAAAAAAGAAAGTAGGGAGTATACAATATTTCTCATCTGTATATATTTTTGTTGTTGTAACGTGAATACATCGATTGCTCACGCCCCCACACGTCATTTACCTCCTCACATGTTGTGACTGATGTAGGCTATGCATAATATATGGGAGCGCACATGCGTCTTTCCCTGCTTGTAAACCTATAAACAAACCCCTTCGAGATCAGTTCATGAGATTGGTCAGGTTGGCAAGTACCAATCGAGTTATTAAATGTGATTATCGGCCGATACCAATCCACGGCTGTTCAATCGAAGCATCCCAAGATTCATAAATCCTATTTTAAATCATAAAAGTAATGCATACATTAATGTATTACTGTATGTGTGTCCTTACTCAATTAAATGCAGCCATGGAAAGCATAAGAAAAAAATAGATACAAAATTTATATTAAAATTTGCATTTACTAAGGAAAACAGCAAACTTTTGAACACTAAAAAGGAACGTTAAGTTTTATTGTGCAAAATAAAGACAACATTGGTTTAGACACTTTCTAGTCTTTGACGATGTTTAAAGTTATATCTACACACTACTGCCACCACTACCAAAAGTTTGGGGTCATTATGATTTTTAAATGTTTTAAAATAATTATCCTGCTTCTCCTGCTCACCAAGGCTGCATTTATTTAATCAAAATACAATACAAATTATAAAATTGTGAAATGTTGTTATTGCACTATAAATTAACTATTCAATAGTTGTTTATAATTAAATTCATTCAATTATTCCAGTAATTTTAAACATTAATTTTCAGCTTCATTACTCCAGTCTTCAGAGTCACATGATCCTTAAGAAATCACTCTAATATTAATTATTATTATTATTATTATTATTATTATTATTATTATTATTATTATTATTATTATTATTATTATTATAAATGGTAATAGTAATAAAAGCAATAATGACTGGAGTAATAATAATAATAATTCATTTGAAACTACATACAATAAGAAAGCAGTTATTTAAAATTGTAATAAGTATTTAACAATTTAAAAACTTCACATTTAATAAATGTTGAACAGTGAATATGAATAATTAAGTTCATATAATAACAGAATAATTTTCTTAAAAAAAAAAAACATGGAAAAAAACTGACCCCAAATTTTTGACCAGTAATGTACATAGATATAATGAACTACCCCTATAGTGAACTTGAGAGGAAATAGTTTCATACATCCAGAAAAGTCTTGGGTGGTACACATTATTGCATCAAAAGGCTAAAATAGGGAAGTTAGCTGTGGGAAAATCTCTATGAAAATGTTTCTTTATTAGCTCTTGATTTCATTTTTAGTGTATGTATGAATCATCATCACACAAGCTGGGTTGTATGAATATATTGTAAATGGCTTTACGTCAACGTTATGTCAAGTGATAGTTCACCCACATATGGAAATGTCATCAGAATATCTATCGTTGTCTTGTTCCAAACCCACATAACATTTGAGTTACTGTAAGAAGTAATTGGAATCCGACAGGTAGTGTTTTACAGTTTACTCAATATTTACTACACGATTTACACTTATTTACTTAAGTTGTTCCAAACCTTTGAGTTTCTTTCTTCTGTTAAACACTAAAGAAGCTGGAAAGCTGTAACCACTGATTGCCATAGTAGGAAAAACAAATACTGTGGAAGTCAATGGTTACTGGTTTCCTGCTGTCTTCAAAATATCTTCTTTTGTGTTTAGAAGAAAGTTGAATAGGGTGAGTAAATTTTGACAGAAGTTTAATATTAATAAGTAACCATCCCTTTAATTTTTGCATGCTGATCATTTCAGTGCTGTCTTTTTTGCTGTGAAGGTTTTGGTTATGTGAAAATATATATAAGAAAATCTTCATCTGTGTTCTAAAGCTGAATAAAAGATAGTTAGTTATTATTTTGGTTTTAATCACCATGTGTTAATGCGCATTTTGAAGAATCGCATGAGAAACAAGTGATGGAAACAACAAGTTTTGAATAAAAATCCCTTAATTGAGGTCATTTGGATGAAAAGGGGTTAATGACAATCGCCAAATAATTGACATATGAACATTGCACTCACATCAGCTGTCTCCATTATGCCAGGTTACCAATTCTACAGTCAATCAAAATTCAGAAACCACTTAATTTGCATTTGTGATTCATTCATTCATTTTCTTCTTGGCTTAGTTCCTTTTTTAATCAGAGGTCACCACAGTGGAATGAACCGCCAAATTATCCAGCAAATGTTTTATGCAGCGAATGTCCTTCCAGCTGCAACCTATCACTGGGAAACACCCAAACACTCTTATTCATTCACACATACACTACAGCCAATTTAGCTTACCCAATTTACCTATAGTGCATGTCTTTGGACTTGTGGGGGAAACCGGAGCACCCAGAGGCAACCCACGCGAACACGGGGAGTACATGCAAACTCCACACAAAAATGCCAACTGGCCCAGCCAGGGCTTGAATCAGCAGCCTTCTTGCTGCGACAGCGTTACCCACTGCGCCACCGCATTTAAGATGTTTTCCCTTTTTTTATTTTTGCAAACTTTGAAAATATTGGCTTCATGTTAGGATGGAAACCCAGCTAATGATGACAGATTTTTTTATTTTGGGGTGAGGTGATAGTCCATCCAAAACTGAAAATTCTGACATCATTTACTCACCCTTTACTTGTTCAAAACAGTTTGGCTTTCTTACTTTTGTTGAACAAAAAAAGAAGATTAAAAAAAGAAGATATTTTGAAGAAACAGGAACCATTGACTTCCATTGTTTTTCCTACTGTGGATGTCAGTGGTTATAGCATTCTTCAAAATATCTTCTTTTGTGTTCACCAGAAGAAAGACCATCTTTGAGACCAGTGGTTCCAAACCTTTTTGATTTTGAGTAAATGGTGAGTAAATTTCATTTTTGAGTGAGCCACACCTTTAAGAAATCAGCCAATTAGCCTTTTACAGACTTAAAACCTCTTTTGTTATATTCATCAGGATAAAGCCAACAAAAGATGGATGCTGATGACCATTGACAAAAGGAAGAAGCTTTTGAAGTTTCTCAGAAGAACCCGTTATGATTCATTTGAGAAGGTGTGCAAGGAGCTTGGAATCACATACACCTTCCCTCCTGAATACTACAGACGGGTCACTCGACGTTGGCTCGCCAAAAAGGCCTTCTGTAATAAGGTAAGTTCAGTTCACACTAATCTGTCTGCATTAGTGTTCTCAAAAGCATCTATTTTGATATGTGTTGATACTGAAGTATTTGAACTGATATAATATTGCTTATTCTGCAATATTAATCATTCCTGTTTGCTTCGAACAATGATAAATTTATGCAATTTGTGTTATTTGTTATACTTTTATTTTTTATAAGTTAGGCTAGTAGGTCAAGTAGACTCAAAAGTGTCCACTAAATGTAAATGTAGTGGTACATATATAATGTAGTATAATATATTACTTAGAGATGTAAACCTACACTGGTCTCGAGGTTCAGTTCGGTTACAGTTATCATGACATCGATTTGTTTCAAATGGATATCTCAGTGCATCACGGTGCATTGACAATGCTTTCTATACACAATTGTAGATTTTACTTCACAGCAAAATAATTCTTGTATTAACATGTATCATTTTTGATATGCATAACATTTTATTTGTATTGTAATACAGTATTGTCCTTTAATACAGGCAGATATAAGAAACGGTACCTCTAATTTTACCTGCTCAAAGAAAACACTGCATCGAACAAAACTCAGAGACATGCACAGAACAACATGTGCATTTTAACCAATAAAGCAAACGTGTAAATAACCCGCTTTTTAAGCGTTGTCGAGCGAGTTCTTACACCCCTATGATTGGTCACACGCTCAACAGAAAGGACTGAGATTATTGGCTGTAACGCACTGTCGCTGTTCACCGATGAATGACTCTGATAAACGGCAACGGCGATCACAGCTTTTCCGTGATAGATGCAGTGGTGAAAACTCGCTTTACAGACACTTGTGTCTGAAACGAATCCATAAGTACTGCTATAACAGCCGAGAGGAGAGGAAACGTCACGCCAGCAGGTCAAACAGGTCACAGTGAAAGAGAGAGAAATAGCGTTTACTTTCATTTTCTCCACAGCAGTACAATAGGGGCTTCTGCTGTAACTTCAGTGTCAGTGAATGACTGTCCAGCAAACACACAGTGAATTGAGTTTCTGCGTTTTAATTACTCGCGCTCGCCTCCATAGTATTCTACCGTGACATAGCACATATGAGACAAATGGCGTCAGTATGTAATGACTGGTTCATATTACTAAAGTGATACTGAATTGACCGAAGAAACAATTAATTTAGACACCTCTACTATTACAATGCAGTAGTGTATTACAATGTTAGAGGAATAAAAAAAATGCAAACAACAAAATTTTATTTTATTTAAAAAAAAAAATTTCAGTTGGGCCAATAAAACTTTGTCAGGGCAATTGGTGGACACGAATAGACCAGTAGAAAAAAAATCTTTAACACTGAATCCATGTTTAAAGGCACAGTTCAAAATATCTTCATTGTGTTCAACAGAAGATAGAAACTCATAAAGGTTTAAAACCACATGAGTTGGAGTAAACGATGTGTGATATTCATTTTTTTGGTGAACTGTCCTGTTTAGGCTTTAACTCTGGCAAATTAAGAAAGTGAGACATGCATAGAGAGTTCTATATGTCTGTTATTGAAAATGGTGTTTAGTATTGATATTTTTTGGTATTGAGTATCAAATCAAAGTTAGAAAGTCCAGTATTGTGCAGGGTGTTCGCAGGTCTTAAAAAAATTCAACTTAGGTTTTTAAAATGTCTTCAATTCACTGAAATAATTTCTTGAATGGTTTTTAAATGGGTCTTAATTTTCCTATGTCCATGTAAAGCTACTTAATCTGGCCAACACCCATCCAATAACTAACAGTCTTATAAAATTAAACTTTTATCAAAACTCCATTACCAATATGGTTTAATTCTTTTCCTTGCAATAGTATTTGTTTAAATGTTGTCCATGTATTTATAGATCATATGTGGTGAGGACAGACCGTATATTTTTGTTTATTACAGTTTTTAAAACTGTAAAAAAAAAATTATATATATGTAAAATATATATAAAAATAAAACTAGGGTATGCTTCTTTTGATACATTATTTAAAATATGTGCTTTTGTAAAACAACTTTGTTTTTTTGTTTTTTTGATGGGGCTAGTAAAAGTCTTTTCTGCAGGGCCAACTGGGCCATCAAAAAATCCTTAGAGTTTAACATTGTATAAGTCTGAAATTTCATTCATAATGGTCTTAAATTTGACTGTGAAATGTGCAGAATCCCTGTTGTGACAACACAATGTAAATTTCAGAATTTGTGTTTCGCCTGTTGTTTACATTGGATTTGTTTTCCCCTCCCAGGTCTTTAAAGAAGTCCAGAGACTAAAAGCAGCAGAGAGAGAGAAACAGAAAGCAGAGGAGGCTGAAAGAAAAAAGTCTTCATCCTCTACAAACCCACAAGAAACTGCAGCGTAGAGATGTTCAACCAGCTGCGTCATGTCCAGAAGAACAATCTGATACATGTCTGTTTTGAATCACACGTCACATTCAGAGAAAAACTAAACAGAACCATCAAATCAACCGCATGTTTTCATTAATTTACTCGTGTCTTTTGAGGCTGAGCCAAATAAAAGATCCTAAAATGAA